TTTTACAGGGGTTGATAATATCCTAACTGAAACTATAAATAGTGTTTTAAATTCTAACTAAGAACCACTTTTAAATTAGTTAAGGCCCAAACAGACTGATGTTTTTATAAACTGGTTCAAGAGCGTGGCTTTCAGATATTTTGATGTAAAAGAAAAACAAAGCGAATGCCAGACATCTGAAAAATACTTTACTGTTACCAGAAAGAGGAGAATTCACGTACACAATTTAATTATAAAGCAAACTCAAAGGACTTATTCCAACACAATGGTATCTTGCTGAAACTAATAATCAAACAACTGTGTAAAACAGAAATTAATCTCCTTTAACTTTTCCCCTCAGTTACCTTCTGTTGAATGGTGGAATGTTTCTGCTCCATCTCTCTTTTCTCTTTTGCTGCGTCCACAGCCAGTCGATCCAACTACAGAGGAAAAGGAGAGTATTATACAGACTTGAAGAAAAACAGTATGCTTATATCTTTACCCATCGTCCCAGTAAGTCGGTCAATTTAAATGAACTTTAAAAAGGCATTTTGGCTATAACTTTAAATTGGAAGTTTTATTGTTTTGTTTTGTTTTCTGGTATCAAATCCTCTTTGAAAAGGTCTGTAACTCCTCTAAGGAAAATGTTTCTAACAATAGTCATGGTTCAAACAAAAGTGACAGAAGGCCTCATCAACGACACAACAGTGATAAGTTCACTCCTTAAATAAGGAAAGTGGCTCCAGCTAAAACTGCCTGCTGACCCATTCAGCAATTCTCATAGTTAAAATCAAAGATACAAAGATACACTGGTGATTTGTTTTCTGCAACAGCAAAGAGTAATAGTTAAACTAATATATGCCAGCTCTCACAAGTTCACTGGGTAAGACTTCTAACCACTCAAGATACTTCCTGTTTTCAAGTTAGCTTCCTAATGTTATAATCAAATCTAACAGGTAGAAAAATAATTCATGGAATATAAGAGAAAGCTAAAAATAATAATACAATAGTAATCATTCATAAGACGAGGGTATAAAATAACCAATTTTTAAGATTTTTTTTTAAGCTCAAAAAACTTATGAATTTATAAAATCCCATTCCTTCCTTGTTCTTTTCCATCAGAAAACATGATCGTCCATCAAGAGAAATACTGATATCCAGTATTCAGACAAATTCACTGGCTTCTTGAACTCCTCTTTGCTGAAATAACAATTGGGTTAAAAATACTCCTTCACGTGGTTCAGCTCTTCTAGACTGTGATGAATGTCACTTCATCTTTGAACCCCCATCACCTCTAACTGATAAATGAATAAATAAAAATATAAATATCAACAGGAATATGAAGGAAAATAATATTAAATGTCCAAATGTTTTAATTGATATGCTTTAAAAGCTAAATTGAAAACAGGCCTTCTTAAAAAACTACCTGATCCTTTATTTGCTCTTTATTACAAATGATGTGTTGTTATTTTTTCTACAGAATATGCTGGCCACAGATTCTTATTATCACTGAAAGTAATAAAGACCCAAAAGAAAACACACTGAAACAGAACTATCACTAATATAAAACATTTTATTTAGATGGTAACTATACTACTCCACTTTAGGATCTAATACATACATACCTTAGTGACATGTGACACTAATTTAATGGGTAATGCTGGTACATGCTACGCTAGAAAAATATTTGTCTTCAATAGCTTCTTATACTGAATAAGTAGAATAATTTTTATCCCATGGTTTTATAGCCTTTAATTGAATGGCATATAAATATTATTAACTCATTCAGACAGATGTGCAGTGCAAGGCAGCCCCCAAGATTCAATCTAATATTTATAAACTTGAGGGCATGTACCTTCCACACAGCACTGCAACGCAAGTCATGATTTTCTGCCTGTCAAACTGATGGTAAATTCCTCTTCTGCATTCCACCCCACTGCTACTGCAGCAGAAAGGGGGAAAATTCCCCTCCCAATCTGTTGGAGAAGAAGTATAAAGAAAAAATGTTTCAGCTTAGAGGAGGATTGGAGAAGGTATGAGTTGGGGAGATGTGGAGACTAGCAGTCTTGTCTCCTAGATGCTGGGCACTGTATCAGGAAGAGAGAGTTTGGAGCACAGCAGGGAGTATCCCACGTTTCTATTACTGTTGGACATGATGAGTTTAACGAGCTCCTGTAACTAGACAAGAACTCCAATCCTCTCTACCTGTGTTCTGGATCCCAACCACTCCTACCACCTCAGATGTCATCACTTCTCTTTCTGCTTTTCAACTTTTGCCATTCCCTTAAGCTTTTTAATTTCTGCAAATCGTACTACCTTTTTATTAAAAAAAAAAAAAGAGAGAGAGAGAGGGGTAGACTGCCATATGCAGCACCTCATTTGGATGTGTCTGGAGTCTTGGAAGCTTGATCACCCTACATTCTCTTACAAATCGACCTTGAGAGCTTGTTTAGAGGTTCTAGCAGGGAAGCGCAGCTACTCCTATGCCCTTGACCAAAGAACGGTCCTCTCCTCTAGCAGGAAAGGTCATCCTCTTTTACCAAGCACGCAGCTTCGAGAGGGACAAACAAGGATCGGTAAGGGAGGAAGAGGACACCTGCCTACCTAGCAAGAGCAACCCAAATCAACCCTGGTGATCAATGGGGTGACAGATGTTGCAGCCAGATGGACCTCACATTTGCAAATCATAATACCTTAAATAAAATCTTCCTCCAATCAATATTCCTCTCTAGCTATCACCTTCTCTCTCTTTCCTACATAACTTCTTGAAAATTCTTTCCTGTTCTCTGTTTGCCCATTTCATTTTCATCTACTCACTATAATTTAGCTTTCTAATTATAAATTAGGAATTTAGAATTTCTGCTACTAGGACCCTGAACTCTCACAGAGGTAACAGATAACCTTCTTGCTGCTAAAACCAATAGGTAGTTCTCAGTCCTAGGTTTACTTGACCTTCTCTCCAATATTTGTACTTATAACCACCCCCTCCTTTTTTGAGACATTTTTTCTTAGCCGGTGCTACCACAGTCTCCCAGTTTTCCATATCCTCTCATTTTGTTCTCATGGAACTCCTCTTACCTAGCAATCTCTTTAAAACTGGTCATTCTTATGGCCCTGTCCCAAGCCAAATTCTCTTTTTATGCTATACTAGAAGACATTAACCTTAACTTATCAAATCAAAATCTTTAGGTATGGTGTTTGGGCACTTACATTTTTAGAAAATAGCTCCATGATTCTGATATATATATATGAACTCTCCTTGGGTCAATTCACCCACTCCTGAGGTTGCAATTAGCAATTCTATGCTATTCACTCCTTTAGTCTATATCTTTCTTTTTAGCTCCAGATATATCCACTAAGATATGCTATCCACAAAAATCAATACATTTAAACCTGAATTCATCATGTCCCACCACTCTCAAATTGGCTATATCTTAAATAACCCTCATGTCTGGTCCAACCCTACTGCCATGACCCTAGTTCCAGATACCATTATCTGAAAACTGAATTACTGAAGGAAGATCCTAACTAGCCACCTCCAACCAGGCTGTATTATCCACTAGGCACTAAACATACCAGGGCACTAAACACATCAAGGCCCTGAAAAATTTTTTGAGACCTGAGAAGAAGATGACAAAACTGAAATTAATATATGTCTAAAATATACAATTATTTTAATAGTCAACTATAATACAACTCACTTTTTTTATAAATTATATTTAATGTAAGATGAGGGTACAATCTAATGTTTAAGATGTGGGAAGTACCTAGGTTTTGCCTTCCTCCTAAGTCTGGGTTAGATGTCCTATCTATATTCAGGGTGGGGCAAAAGTAGGTTTACAGTTGTTCATATGGAAAATAATACAGTAATAAATAATACAAAAATAAACTTTCTCAACTCACAACTGTAAACCTACTTTTGCCCTACCCTTTAACACTCTGATCCTCCACTGTGTGCTAGAGACAGCTGGCTCTCCACCAATATCCATTTGCTCTCCTTCTGTCTTAGTAATAGAACCCCCAAATTCTAGCAGGTAAGTTACCTGGCTTAGCTTAAGTCTATCTTTCCCAGCTTTCCTTGCTGCTAGTGTGCCATAGAAGGGTACAATTTCCAGGAAATATCCCTAAAGAAAGGGAATGCATCATTGCCCTTTCCTTCTTCCTGTTAGTAGGAACTGTGATATGATGGCTAAAGCTTGATCTGCTACTTTGAACCATGAGGGAAAATCAAAAGATAGAATAAGTTTGGGTCCCAGCAAACCAAGTGACCATCATATCAGGCCTTTCTTTGACTTTACATATGAGAAATAAAATTCTATCTTATTGAAGCTACTACCTTTCAGTTTTCTATCACATGCAAACAAACCTAATCTCAATTTATATACCCAGACAGGGCACTTAGCACAGTGAATATTAGTCTAGTAACTAGTTGGTTTCTTCCAATAAGTTAAGTTCTATAGAGGTAGAACACAGTATCTCTATAATTCATGGCATGTGCCTGTATATCATCCCTTCCTAACACCATCCCAATACACATGAGCATGCACCATATTTATTTTTGGTTAGTGAATGCAATTCTCATTCCACTATTACCTTTTTCCCATTTCCCTAAACTCTAGCTTTCATCCTTAATTCCCTCTCCTCAAAAAGTAACCTGAGCCCTGACTAGTGTAGCTCAGTGGTTAGAGTGCCAGCCCTAGCACTGAAGGGTCATGGGTTTGATTCCCTGGCAAAGGCATGTATCTGGGTTGCAGTTTCAATCCCCAGCCCAGGTTGGGGTGCTTTCAGGAGGCAACCAATCGATGTGTCCTCTCATATCAATGTTTCTCTCTCTCCCTCCTTTGCTCTCTTCCACTCTCTCTAAAAATCAATGGAAAAAATATCCTTGGGAAACGATTAACAACAAAAAAAACAAAAAAAGTAACCTGAACCATTTGGAAAAGAAAATCACCTAAAAATTGATACTGTTAAATCCAGAGAGCCCACTAAATCAACAACAAAAAAGAATGTTCCAGAACAGATCTAATATAAAGTTCTGATCAGGTATCAAAAATAATTTGAACATAATGAAATTTCTATACAATATCCTTATATGTGTGTAATTCATGAATGTGTACTTGTTTGTATAAAATGAAAAAGTTCGTAAGAGTTCTATAATCTTAAGCTTCTAAAACTTTATTATTCAAAATAGCAAAAGACAACATTTTTTTAAACAAAAAGAGCTATAAATCAAATGAAAAGCCAATTAAGACAATAACTCAATTTTCCAAATGTAAGAAGAGAAAACTAAATCATTATGTATACTGTAAAAGAGACACTTTGTTTTTATTTTTTAAATATGTTTTTATTGATTTTAGAGACAGAGGAAGGGAGAAGGAGAGAGAGAAACATTGATGGGAGAGAATCAACATCAATTGGCTGCCCCCTGCATGCCCCCAACCGGGGATCAAGCCCACAACTCGGATATGTGCCCTGACCAGGAATCGAACCCGCGACTCTTTGGTGCATGGGTCGACACTCAAGTTCAACCACTGAGTCACACTGGCTGGGCAACACTTTGTTTATAAATTCTCCTTTTTAGTACTCTCATATATTGTCTATAACATTTTAAACTTGAACCTCATTTTTGGTTACACATTTAACCCATACATAAATCTACTATAGCATCAAACCTCTTTATTAAACAAGTGAATGTTAAATTCCCCAATATGCTAAATTTCTTTTAAAATATAAATATAGGAGCAAAGGCAACAACAACAACAACATAAAGCAAAAATAAACAAGTGGGACCACATCAAACTAAAAACCTTTTGCACAGCAAAGGAAACCCCCAATAAAATGAAAACACAACCTACCAAAAGGCAGGAAATATCTGCAAATCCTATATCTGATATAGGGTTAAAATCTAAAATATATAAAGAATGCATATAATTCAATAGCAAAAATAAAAACACACACAAGAAACACCAAATAATCCTATTTAAAACAGGCAAATGATCTGAATAGAATTTTTCCACAGAAGACATGCAAATGACCAAAAGGTACATGAAAAGGTATGTAATGTCGCTAATCATCAGGGAAATGCAAATCAAAACTGCAATGAGATTATCACCTCACACCTGTTAGAATGACTATTATCAAAAAGATAAAGAGATAACAAAGATTGGCCAGAATGTCGAGAAAAAGGAATCCTTGTGCACGGTTGGTGGGAATGTAAATTGATGTAGCCACCATAGAAAACAATATGAAGGTTCCTCAAAAAATAAAAATAGAACTACCACATGATCCAGCAATTCCATTTCTGGGTATGTAGCCAAAGGAAACAAAGACACTAACTCAAAAAGATATCTGCATCCCCCTGTCCCCTGCAGCATTATTTACAATAGCCAAGACATGGGAACAACTTGTATGTCAGTCGATGGATGAATGGATAAAGAAAATGTGGCATATATACACAATGAATATTTTTCAGCCATTAAAAAAAAACCCTGGCTGGTGTGCCTGTTGGTTACGCATCGTCCCATGCACCAGTAGGTTGCCAGTTCCATTCCCAGTCTAGGGCACATGCCCAGGTTGTAGCTTGATTCTGGGTAAGGGGCGTACAGGAGGCAGTGGATCTATGTTGCACTCTCACATTGATGTTTCTCTCTCTCTCTCTCCCTCTCCCTTCTTCTCCCTCTAAAAATCAATAAACTATTTCTAAAAAGAAAACCCTGCCATTTAGGACATGGATAGGCCTTGAGGGCATTATGCTAAGTGAAATAAATCAAACAGAGGAAGATAAATACCATATGATCTGGCTGATATGTAGAATCTAAAAAACAGACAGACAAACAAAAATACCCAAACTCATAGAGAAAAACAACAGTTTGGAGGTTGACAAAAGCAGGGGATAGGAGGATGACTGAAATGGGTGAAGGGGGTCAAAAGGTAAAAACTTTCAGTTATAAAATAAGTCGTGCAGATGTAATGTATAGCATGGTGACTACAGCTATTGTATATTTGAAAGTTGATATGAGAACAGAGCTTTAAAGTCCTCATTACAAGGAAAAAAATGAAAACCACATGGGGTGATGGATGTTAATTAGACTTATTATGGTGATCATTTGTGTGTGTGTGTGTGTGTGTGTGTGTGTGAGAGAGAGAGAGAGAGAGAGAGAGAGAGAGACAGAAATCATTTTATTGTATATCTTAAAGTAATATAATGTTTTATGTCAATTATATCTCAATTTTTTTAAATACAGGTATCAGTGTATAACACAAAATCAAGAGGTATACCTGTGCACCAAGATCCTTCATGTAGGGCCCAAGTTCACTAAATAGATCATATCCTTGATGAAAGAAGGCCAAGTGAGCATACATAAAAGATAACATCTAATAGAAGAAAAAAATATTAAAATTTTAAAATCAATTCTTAGATAAGCATTACAAAATTCTTAAAAATCTTTATCCTACTTAATGTTTAAAAATTATTCCACAAGAGCCCAAAATATCAAACCTATTTAAAATTAAACTGAATCATTTTTCTTAAAAGAGTATTTTAGAAATATTTGTAAATATGACAAGAAATTTTATTTAAAAGAAATTTCTAGATGGCTTAAAATTTTAACAATGCCCCAAATTTCAGTTGTTTGGACTATATCCAAATGATCAAAATTTTCATAGTAATAGTTCAAAGAATCAAGGTTTCAATAGCTTCACTGCCTTCCCTTCCTAGATACATTATGAATTATCTATGTGACTTTCAACCAAACTCACTGGCAAAATCTTAAATTGCAAATAGGACATTAAAAGATTAAAAGTGGAAATACGAAGTACTCAAAAATAAAACAATCACAAACGCTTTACAACCTACTAGATCACCAAGCACAACCCAAAGTAGGGGAATGCTCGTTTTTTTCTCAAGATACCAAAATAAAATGAGTCAACAGACTTTGCTATGGAGGTTTCTTTATATTCATTCCAAAAATCAAAAATGTCATTAATGGGTCGAGATTTTCCCCCCAAATTTTCCTATACTTTACCTATTAATGAGAGAATAGTCACCCCTACTTTTATTAGTTGTCACATGAGAAAGAATTAAATAATTCAATCACAATACTAAAAGAATCCTCTAACATTCATGTTACTTTTAGCAAGACAATGCATATTTAATTCTCTGAAATCTAAAATAGGTCATAAGGTTTGTAGTATTTAAGAATCCTTCAAAGAAATTTTAAAAAAGAAAAACCAATTAAGTAAAACACAAAGACAAAAGACAAAACTCACTAAAAGATTATTCTGGAATTAGATCAAGATGGTTGTACAACTTTGTGAATATAATAAAAAACACTGAATTATATTTTAAAAGGGAATATTAATAGCTATGACTACATAAAAATGTAAAATATGCCAGCACATCAAAACACATAATAAGCATATTAAAAAATAAATGATAAACTAGGAAAACAACACATGACAAAGGGTTAATAGTCTTAATACATAAGAGATGTTACAAATCAGTATGAAAAAGATGAACACACTAACAGGAAAAAAGACAAAGGACATAAATAGGGAACACAAGTGGACAAAAAAAACATGGAAAAAATGTTCAAATTCATTTGTATTAAATAAATGCAAAACTGAACAATCAGATCACATTATCTACCCAATTGTAATTAATACCCAGTGTTGATGAAAGGTGGAAAAACGTTTACTCTACTAGTGGAAACGCACACACTACTAGTGGAAATGTTGTATAACCCTTGAAATCTGATAGTATTTCTTAAAAGTCTTAATGAGTATTTATATCCTTTGACTAAGTAATCTCTTGTCTTTATCTTAAGGAAATAATCATATTATTCATTAGGATGATCATTATAATGCTATAGTTTAATGTCAAAAACATGAAAATTAAAAATCCATTAATGGCTGAAGTTAATTTATGGTAAATTAATGGTCAGCAACCTATGACCAGCAAACTATCTAGCTCTACCATCTATATTTCAATGGCCTATGAGCTAACAATGGTTTTTACATTTTGAATTGGTTGAAAGAAAATGAAAAAGACATAAAATTCATGACGTGTGAAAATTACATGAAATTCAAATTCCCATGTCCATAAAAAAAGTTTTATTGGAACAGAGCCATGTCATTCATTTATATATTGTCTATGGCTTCTTTCTCATAACAGCAGCAGAGCTGAGTAATTGTGACACAGACCATATAGCCCACAAAACCCAACATATTTACTATCTAGCCCTTCAACATAAAAGTTTGCCACCCCTCGTAAATTCACATGGTAGAGCTCCACCTGGCCACAAAAGTCATCATTAAATAAAAAATATTTAATGGCATATGATGATTTTGAAGTGTATTAGTGAAAAAAGAAAGTTATAAAACAGTATACAGAAATGATTCCTATTTTCTTTAAAGTACAGAGGCATGTTCACATATACATACATACATACAAACAGAAAAAGAGAAAAAAGACAGAGATATTAACAGTGGTTGCCCCTTGATAGTAGGATTTATAAATACTTTTATTTTTTCTTCATTCATTTAATTTTCCAATTTCCTACAGTTAACATACATTACTCTCAATATGGAAGAGAAAGTAGATATAAATAAGAAGTAAAATGTACTTATCTGATAAAAAATAAATACATATACACAGAATTTAGGAAAAAGCTAGGTAGGCTCAAGAATGAAGAGCAATTTAAGTATACCCTTTCGGAAAAACAAATAGTGTCAGTGAACAAAGTCAGAGAGGAAAAATTATTTCTAAGGTTTTTAAAACATAAGAGTGTAATGCCATACTACTACTACTATTCCCTGCCCAATTCCTTATTAACTTTAAAACAAAAAATAAGAAAAAAATCAATGTCAATATGGATGTAGAGGCTAAGAAAAAAAAAGTGATCCTCAACTTTCATCCCATTTGTTTTCTAACTGCACACCAAGGAACAAACCAAAAGGCTGATCCATTATCAGGAACACTAGGGGAAAATCCTCTAAATGCTGACTATGTACGCTCTCAATCTCAAATATTTAAATGTCTGATTTAAGGAGATCAGTGTATTAAGAGATGTGACACACATAAATAACTATAAGATGAAGGAAACAAAAAAGTGAATGACATACAATTAGCACAAAAAGATAAACAAAAAGATTAATTATGAACTTGGAATAAATACACACACACACACACACACATCATGCTTCTTGAAACACTTAAATATGTACATATAGCTTCATATTAAAATATCTGAAACATAATTTTAATAAATATCTTACTGATTTTAGGATTTCTGATCGCCTTTTTGATTGAAGGACATTAATCTGAGGGAAAATACACTTGGTTAAGCATCCACACATTATTTTAAAAACTAATCCATAATGCAATATTGTAAAAGTTGTTTAAGCAAATGGTTTAACATTTTTCCAAAAAAAGTAAATAAAAACAAAGTTCAAATGTTTTATCCTTCGGCCTACTTTTTGTGAAAACAGTTTAGACAGACATACCAATGAAACTAATCCATCTTTTACCTCAAAAAAAATAAAAAACTGGCTGAGTTTAAATCATAATATTGTAGTGTTAAAACTATCACTTTGATAGATATTTGAATTTCTTAGAATTCCTTCTTTTCCCACCCTCCTTATCTAATTTGTTCATCAAGACCCTTCAGCATATATCATAACACAAATTGCCATCACATTTACCACTGCCATCGACTACCATTGTATCTCTTTTCTAGACTATAGCAATTGTCCATGAACTAGGATGTTTCCATTCTTCACTCCCTACAATCCATTCAGCAACTAGAGTGATCTTTTTAAAATGTAAGTAAGATCATGCTTTGTCTAGCTTAAAACCTTCCAACTCCCTACCACAGCTTTCAAGGCCCTCTATGATTGGCCCCTGCCTACCTCTCCAACCTACTTTTCTACCACTTTCCTCCCTTTTGTGTTCAACCACAATTCAAGACTACTCCCACCTCAATACCTGCATACTAGTTGTACTAACTTCATGTTAAGATAGTTTAAATACTATCTCTTTACAAAGGTCTAAAGTAGGCCCGTACACACTGTCCAGTACATCAACACTATTTATTTTCTTCTTAGTAATCAACTACCTTATATTTTCTTTTTGTTTTTTTCAATATTTTTATTGATTTTGAGAGAGAGAGGAAGGGAGAGAGGAAAAGAGAAACATTGATGTGAGAGGAGAACATCCATCAGCTGCCTCCTACACACCCCTACCGGGGATCAAGCCTGAAACCCAAGCATGTGCCCTGACCAGGAAACAAACCAGCAACATTTTGGTGCATGGGATGATGACCAATCAACTGAACCACACCAGCCAGGGCCCTTATATTTTCTTATTTATGTCTTAGTTATGTCTTATTTATGTCCCCAGCTAAAGTATAAGCTCTGTGAGATCAAGGCCTTGCCTTATTCCCAGGTGTATTCTCCCAGTGGTATGTAGTAAGCACTCAATAAATATTTGTTAAATAAATCATTAAATTTTAAATAAATATTTTAATTAGACTAAACTTACTAAAAAAATCAATAAATTATGAAAATTGTTTGTAGTATCTCTCCCAACTCTAGAAATTCGTAACAAACATTTTACTTTTGTCTATTATTATATATCAATTTAGTAAAATAAAATGTTTATAAAAAAGAATCATTCACTTTTTACTAATATTGTCAAAAGAAAGGTATTACAGAATACCTGCCTTTTTAATATGTCCTTCTCACTGAATATTCTGCCTGTTGATTTATAAAATAATTTTAAAGCAATGATCAGAAAACAAAAACAAGCCAAAAAAAATCCAGATAACTTTGCTTAACTAAGAACTAGTTTCTTCTGCTTGCTTCTTTCAAAGCCTATTCAGTTCTGAAAACTAAAATACTAACTTTCAAACACTCTGAGTAAAAGCAGAGGCTACAGATAAACCTATTATTCAAACTTTGAAATATGTTAAAAGTGCCTTTTGTTTTGGGTTTGTTTTGTGTGTTTTTTTCCCCATCTGGCAATGAAAAACAGCATTTACTTGAGGGGGGTTAAATTCAAATATTTAGAGACAGTAACACATGACAACCTTTATAAATCTGGATATTTATTACTTGGTATACTCTAAATTAAACACTTTGGCCATGTAATAAAATGACGCAACAGTTCTCATCAGGAAATCAAACAAACTAAGTTATAAGAAAGGTGGGACACCTAACTTAAAACTATTGGATGGACACCAAAGAAAAATGTATAATTTATAATACGTAAGTTTGAAAATAATGAATATTTTAGCTGAATCTGCCTCCCCAAATTAAATTTAAAATTAAGCAATTTATTCCTTCAAAAAACATTTATAACCTATTTTCCAACCACTACACTAAAGGGAAGGCACACAATCTAGGAGTAGAAAAGGCATATAAATAAATAATTACAATATATGGGTTCAGTGCTCCAATAGCAATGTGCATGGCAATATCAGTGCAGCACAATGAAGACAGAGGCAAAAATAATTCATTATGCCTGGAGAAATTTGAGTAACTCTGACCACAGAAGAGAGAATGAATTAGTAATGGGGTTAGTAAAAGCAATGCAAGAAAGGCCCAGTGCATGAGAACATCATAATATTCTAAAAAAACAGTAAGAACTGGTGTTAGGGCTATAGCAAGAGTAAGATAACAGATTTAAGAGGTACATAGAACTTCTTAAGGCAGTTTTGGCTGTTAGATATAGTAGCAGAGGATGAGGAGAATCTGATATAATTCTACAATTCTGAACTTTTATAACTATGACAATGATGCCATTCAGTTAGGTAAGAACAAAAAGAAGCTGTCTGGGAAGAAGATTTCAGCTTTGAATACAAGAAGAATGAGGTACTTCTGCAAAAAAAAATAGTAATAATAAATCTGTCATTTCTATATGGTGGTAATTCAAGCAAGGGGAATGATGAGACTGTCAGAGAACTTATAAAGTCAGAAAAGAATAGGACCAAAGATAAAACACTGAAAAAAAGAGTAAAAAAGTGGGCAAAGGAGAGAATCCCATGGCGGAAATTGAAAAGAAACAGAAGATGATCTAAAAGTGTTTTGAGATAAATCAAGACAAAAGTACATTTCAAAGAGAGTATGTCCTACATTTTCAAACACATAGGTTGGTTAAAAACTAAAATGAATGACACCTTAGCATGAGCCATTTCAGTGGAATGGGGGTAGGCAGACTGAGAACTCATACTACCACAGAAAGTGGTATGAATGTGAGGTAGGTAACAGGACACAAAAAATACAGACTACTCCATTCTAGAAGACTTTCATTAATAAAAGGAGTTTACTTCATTTTTAAAATTTATCTTCCACTTAACTAAACAGCAACTTAACAGAAAAAATCTTAGTCATTTCTACTGTTTTTGCAGTTTAGTTTTTAATCACTAGCTTATATACTGTTATCTATGTATTGTTTATTTTTATTTGTTTGTTCAATATATCTTCATTGATTTCAGAGAGTGGAGGGAGAGAGATAGAAACATCAATGATGAGAGGGTTGTCACTGATCAGCTGCCTCCTGCAGGCTCCTGACTGGGGACTGAGCCCACAATCCGGACATGTACCCTGACCAGGAATCAAACTGAGATCTTCTGGATCCTAGGTCATGCTCAACCACTGAGCCACGCCCGGCAGGGTTATGTATTGTTTTAAGAAATACTCTGTGAGGCAGAGGAAACAAGATGGTGGTGTAGGTAACAGCTGTACCCGTTGTCTCCCATAACCACATTCAAAATTACAACTAAAATACAGAACAACCATCACTCAGAACCTCCTGAGATCTAGCTGAACAGAAGCCCTACAACCAGGGAACTGAAGAAGCACCGAGACTGGTAGGAGGGGCGGAGATGAGGGTGGATGGAGCTGAATCCCAGAGACACAGCCCCGGGGCCCACACCCAGTGCAGCGGTTCAAACCCAGCAGGGATATCTAGGCTGGGAGGCTTCCTGGAGGAACAAGGGGTTCCAGCCCCACAGCAGGCCCCCAGCCCAGGGCTCCAGGGCTGGGAAGATAAGTCCCCACAACTTTGGGCTGTGAAAACCAGCAGGGACTGTGGCTGAGGGTCGCGGAGGCTGTGGGAACCCCAGCAGCTCCTCTTAAATGGCCCGCACACAGACTCACTCAGACGCGCTCCCTCTGAGCCCCAGCGCCAGACAGCAGCCTGAAAGGAACCTGGGACACTCGGGGAAGAATTAACCTGCCTGAAATTGGGGCAAGAGGTGGATGGGCAGCTTTCTCCCATACAGAAGGGCTGGCAGAGGCCATTGCTCCTTTGGCGGGCCCTCCCCACACACAGGTGGCAGGCAGGCGCCAGGCAGGCGCCATATTTGAATCCCCAGCACCTGATTCACACCTCTGGCCCCGCCCCGTGATTCCCAGAGACCCCACCCCTCCCTACCTGCAAGCTCATCCAAGCCATTTCCAGTGGCTTTTCTATGCAAGTGGTCTTTCCAGCCTTATGCTTAGGACTTTCCTAGAATGTCTCAAACAATCAGCAGCGTGCCCCATACAGCTTGATAAGTGGCCCCAGGCCTGGCACTAGTGGCAGCCTACATTGGTTCATAGCTTGTCCTCTCCTAGACACCTCCAAGCCCAGCACAAGTAGCAGCCAACTACAGTTTGCTGTGTAGCTCATGCTGGGCGGACCTGGGCAAGGCACTAGAAGAGGCTGACTTTACACCTCCTGGGAGGCCCCAGACACACTGCACCTGATGGTCAGACTCAACCATGCTGGATTACAACCATACCACATCCACGAGTGACACACTCAAGGGGCACTCTTGGTGAACACGAAAGATCCACTGAAGTAAATCCTGTTCCACAGAAGTATCTCCAGCACAGCAGCTCTTTGGCTGTAGTTGCCGGTGGTCCTCACAGCCAATTGGCCTGGGGTGAGTTCCTCCCAGTGACGCCAACAGCAACCAAGGCTCAACTACAACAGGACAGTGCACACAGCCCACACAGGGGAGCACTTAGAAGGCCCAGCTCAGGTGACTGGGGAGGCTGAGCCACTGGACCCTACAGGACACCTACTACACAAAGCCACTCTACAAATTCCAGGAGACATAACAGCTCTACCTAATACATAGAAACAAACACCTGGAAGCAGTCAAAATGTGGAGGCAAATAAACATGTCACAAAGGAAAGAACAGACAAAATCTCTAGAAAAAGAATTAAATGAAATAGATCCCAGCAAACTAACAGAGACAGAGCTCAGAATTTTGTTTATAAGGATGCTCAAACATATTAATAAGAGTATTATGAAAACAACTGAGAAAATTGATGACATAATAAAGTACAAATTTGAAATGAAGGCTACACAAACTAAAATGAAGAATAATTTACAGAGAATTAACAGTAGAGTAGAGGATGCTGAGAATCAAATCAGCAATTTGGAACATGAGGAAACAAAAAACACCCAAACTGAAGAGCAAAAGGAAAAAAGAATCCATAAATATGAAGATAGTATAAGGAGCCTCTGGGACAGCTTCAAGAGGCCCAACGTTCGTATTATTGGGATGCCAGAAGGAGAAGAAAGAGAGCAAGAAATTGAAAACCTATTTAAAAAAATAATGACAGAAAACTTCCCCTACCTGGGGAAAGAAATCGACTTATAAGTCCAGGAAGCACAGAGGGTCCCAAACAAGAGGAAACCAAAGAGACCCACAGCAAGACACATCATAATTAAAATGCCAAAGGTTAAACACAAGAGAATCTTAAAAGCAGCAAGAGAAAAGCAATTAGTTACCTACAAGGGAGCACCCATATGACTGTCAGCTGATTTCTCAACAGAAACTTTGCAGGACAGAAGGGAGTGGCAAGAAA